CAGCAAAGCAGTACAATATTTATTTACCATCTCCAGCAGCAAAGCTTTGGAACCAGGAAACAACCCTTTTGTACAAAGCAACCATCTTCCCACCCCCAACTGGTTATTGTTTACAAATACAAAGTACACATAACATCTGCTTTATATGGCAAACTTAAAAAACATACATATAGATATACCCCATTCTGTAAAGAACTTTACTCAGTTAAGAAGACTAGTACCACCAAGCCTGTTAAATAAGATTCTTCTTCCTGTATTGTCTTTTGGGTAAACTGCCAGTATCTATACACTTATAAAAATCCCCTCCTAGGAAGAATGACTTTGATTCTCCTTCAGTACAGGACCATAAAAAAACCAAAACCACAACAGAACAAAACCACATCTGGAACTTGAGAATTTTTAAGTATCTCTGAAGTTGCAAAGGGGAGCTGCAATTTTAACCCTGAGTGCCACTGCTATAACTCTGGCACAGCAAGAAAAAGGATGAATTATGAAAAGAAAAGAGAAAAGGTGAAAGTGGCAACAAAAACAAAAAAAAGAAACTAAAATCACAGAAAAACAAACAGGAAATTGACAAAATGTGTTTTGAGTGCTGCTGGAGATACCACTGGCACAAGGTTCACAGGTCTTTCTTCAATACAACATCTCCAAACTCCAATGAAGCAACATTTTTAGAAATATCTTCATTTCCCCCAAGTCTACCCTCAAATTATCTGTAACCCAATGTACAGGGAAATGAACCACATTTAGCTACACTGAGAACACAATGTCAATAGGAGGTCCTGAAGTATGCAACTGTATACCCGTAATGGTCTGTCACAGTCCACTTCAGTGCCATCATCCTGTTCATCTTCAAAGTTGTTCTCTATTAGTGTCTCAGTTCTTTTTCACTGCTGGAGCTGTCCCTGGGACTAGAGGTACACTGACTGAAAAGCCTTCCTTTGGCTCAGCTCAGGGAAGAAAAAGAATTGCTCTAGCTGACCACAGGGGACTATGGTACAAAGCGAACTCTGGACAGACTACTTCTATGACCTTACACATAACAGCTACACCAACTTGGTACATTTTGAATAGATAGGAACCAATACATTTTGGTGGGTAATTAATCCTCTTTCTTCAACTTAATATCTACCAACTATCCCCCATAAAGTCTGTTCCTTACAATTCTGAAACCAGACACAATGTTCCACATGCTTTTGTATGTACTGATTCATCTAAATGCCTGGCTCCTGATACCCTTCTGGTCCAACTAGCTCTTCAATCATGTTGCAAGCCTCAGCTCAAGTATTTGCTAAGAAAATCTTCCCTGATCCCTCTAGAATGGCCCTCTGTTTTGTTCCAACTTCACTGCAGGCATTCCTCTAAACAGAACAGTTACATTGTATTGGTATTTTTTTCTCTTAAGAGAATATACCATCTCTTATTAACTCCAGGTTCCTCCACACCTTCCTCAGTGCCTGCCTGTACATAGGTACTGAAAACTAGGATAGAAGATTGTTGCCAACATAGACACAAAGTGACAAAACAGGATCCATCAAAAATCATATACACATTCCTACATAACCTAGCTCTTCATTCTACATTCTCTTTATTTCCTTACTGTTTATAATGAGCATTTCTTAGCCTGCACTTGAGAAAAGAGACTATTTTATTTTAAATATGTCTTTCAATGACTTAATCCATTGATGAGCTTGTAATATAGCTTAACAGTTGAGCCTTAAAAACTGTAAACAAAGGGAACATGATCTGATGACATGAACCTACTACATGCTATTAAATACACATCTTAAAATGTATCTGTATTTATATCCAATACCATTCCACACTTATAATATATCTATGTGTGTAGAAAAAGCACACTATGAAAGAAATGAAACCTGTACTGGGCTTTTGAAATTTCAAAGTATTCCCAGGCTTACCTCATTTGAGAGTAGGAAAACTGAGGCTCAGAAAGTAGTGACTTGCTAATACTCAGATCAAGGTCTTAGAATTTAAATACCATGTGCTCTGCACCATACCACCTTTCTTCCTACCCAGTATCCTAAAGAATTTGGAAAAAAAAACCTTAAGCGTGTATCTGAAACAAAACGGTGTAACAAAAAAAGGTAGAAGAAAAAGAAAAAAACAAGCAAAAATTGACTAAAACGATTAGTGCTCAAAAAGAACAGAATACGTGCAACAAGTCAATGACCACACATAAGAACTGTCTTAGTCCCACACAGTGAAATCTCAAGGGGAAAACAAGAGTTTCTGATCTGACAAGCGAAATGACCAAGAATTAGTTAATGTAAGACATCAAGTACTGAGGAATAAGAATATAGCCATAAACACAAAATTTAGGGAAGAAAAAGATTAGTACAGGTCAAATTAGCTTATCAGAGAAGTTAAGACTTGAATTGAGCCTTGAAAAATATGAAGAGGCAGCCTAGTAAAATGCTAAACTGAGACTGTGGAGGAATAGTTAATATTCAAAAGCTAGGCTCCACCATTTGAGCAATATGCTTAATGTTTCATTTTTTCATCTGCAAAATAAGGGTGAATTTCTTCCTCAAGAGTAACTTGTAAATTTTAGCACACAGTGTAGTAAATGTGAGCTCTATAAATGAAAACTCTGTCCTCCACTTGCTTGCCAGGCAGGAAGACAACCCTTAGGCCCAAGACTATAAAGGTGCTTCCAAGATCTCAAAATATATTCTTGCTAAAAGTAAACAGGGGTTGTTATAAGGCATTAGACAAAGACCAACTTGCATGCAACTCTTGCTAAGAATCTAAATGAGGCTAGTTAAACACTGACTATACTTGAACCAAGGAAAAAAGGGTTTCATACCTAACGGCAGGATGTTTAATGTAATTAAATGTTAAAAAAAAATGGAACTGAAAATTTGAGACTGTTCAAGTGACTTGGAAAATGCTTCCCCCCAATCACCCACATCATGTTGCCCTAGTAACTAAAAGTGGTACAAATAAAGGAACCACAAACGTAGGGTACTAGTGTTAAATGCACACTAAGTAGTGCAAAACATAGCTATCACATATAAAAATGTGAGTTGACAAGAGGTCTAATTGTAGTGCTCAAAATTGAATAACATGACAGAGCTACTTATTGGTAGTGCTCAAAATTGAGTAACATGAAAGAGCTACTCTTACAGGCAATGACAGAAAAGCGAAGGCATAGGATACATAGCTGACAGGAAAAAATAGCGTATGAATATAGGTCTTATAAAGAGACTACTAACAGAATTCATAACGTTTGAAGCATTTATGATCAAAGGAGAGTTTAAAATACAACTAGATATAAAGCATTTACTTTCACTGCCACCAAGGAATATACTTAGAAATATTAGAAAACTCAATACAAGTTGAGAGATCTCCAGAGTCCTAAAAGAAAATGAAGTACAGACAACCTGAGAATTCTTGTTGAATTCTTAACAAGGCATCAGAAAATCCAAGAGATCATTTGAAATAGACAGTTATCTCAATAAAATAGGTAAAGCCCTTAAGACTTAGAGAAAACTGGTTAATTTTAAGATACAGTTTATGTCAGAGCTGTTCTATAACTTCATGGTGACGGGCTTAGAATTTTTATAAGATGCAATTAACCGTAAACCATATGTAGTAATACATTTGTGTGAAACTATGCAAAATGAGAAAAATAAGACTACCATTAAATAAGAAAGCATTAAAAACTGACTGAAGTTCAATAGCCAGGAAATAATAGTTCCAGAGACTGAACTGGCTGCTTTTTTTAAAAAAGGACAAAAGAGAAAACTAGAAAATCTCTTACAATAATTCTGAAGGCATTTGTATTTAAATACACAAATACAAAGCCACATCAAAATCCTGGCTAGTATTTACTGGTAGAATAAAAAATATAATCTACATCAAAGATACTAAGGGAAGATCAGACATCCTTCTAGAAAGAGGTGTTACATTAAAGATCAATTAAGATCAATATAAAGAACGAAGTAACTAATATGATAACATCAAAAGGAAACGGTTGGACTGTGATCACTTCCAGATATATCCCACCAGAAGCAAACATAATTTCCAGTAAAAGATATCTCAATGGTACCAAACACTACTATAAAAAAGTTTTCATTACTATAAAGTCAAGCAAATGAAAACACAAAGTAGTATAAAAATATTATCCCACTAATCAACAGGAGAAAAAAAGATTTAATAAAACAATATTCTCATCATTCATCCAGGAAGGGAAATTCCTTAAAAGAATATTTTAATGGCTTACAAAACTCATTATTTTTGGAAAAATAACTAAAAGATTTGCATTCAATAATGATCATCATCAGTTAAATAATAACTTCCACCTGTATATTTTCTTAAGTGAAAGAAGAATTGATTGGTTTCTGTATCCACAAAATAACTATATAAAATGGACCTGGCCAACTGAAATGACATGCATATATCACAATCAATTACTGGACTAGCCACTAACATTAAGAATGGTAAATTTCAAAAGACAAGGAAACCTAAAACAGTGCAAGTCTGGGGCAAAATATGTCTCACATTAAAAAAAAAAAAAGTTTTCAGTTATTGCAATTTTTAAACTATTTCTACAAAGATCTAGTCCATAATTTCTAACCTTCATCAGAATCCCACTAAATTATATCCTCAACAGTGAATGTGGCATTTAACTCTGTTCATCCATGGCATTTAACTCTATCCAATTTTGTAGCTAGAAGGGATTCTGGATTGTGTCTGTTCCAACCTCCTCATTTTTAGTACCTGAGAGGTTATCCTGATGTACTACTGGGCCCTTAAGGACATTATCAATCAGGTCACTTAGGTATCATTCAGGAAATTATTAGTATAGTACTAACGTAATATACTAAATAGTATCCAAGTATCCCAAAAGAGTTTATGTTCCCCTCAAAATGTCATTTTAAGGGCCAAGTAATTAAAATGGAATTACAAAGAAGCTGCCACGCAGTTAAAAAAAAAAAAAGTTTAAATGCAATTACACTAATAAGGAAGCTGTCACTAAAAAGAAAAGATAAAGTGTCAGCAAATTTACTGCTTTTCCTAATGTCTTTGTTTCTTCTTACCAAGTAAACACATCCACTTATCAAATATAAGTTGTGCTACCATGGCTTAGAACAAGGTCAGTCTGAGACAAATGACTCAATCAGAAAACCTAGAACCTGCAGATAGAAAACAAAGCTGCCTTAATGCTCAGAAACTGAGCCAATAAAAAGAACTACTGTGAAGTTATTTAAATAAAGGGGGAGGGTCATACTCTACAACCTTCTGAAATGGATTGACAGTGCTATAAAGAAAAATTAACATTCAGAAGGAGAGTACATTTAGATAGTGCAACTGTACAGATGATGAATAAACTACAAGATTAAAAAAATCACTATACAGAACTCATAAATATAAGCAACATATGCAAGACATCAAAATGTTAAGTTTTAAACAATAGGGTGAAATTTAAAAAGGCACTTCATATAACAAATGGAAACAATTTCTCTGTACACAGAAACGGCAAGAAATCATAGTCTTCACATATATTTTATGTCTAGTGGAGAAATAACACTTTGAAGAAAAAGGATCATTAGATGCATCCCCACTGAGAATATCAAATCATTAAATTTGCAATTATCCCAAAGCGTCCCAGAAAATCTAGAGATATTTAAACATCTAATTGCCCAATGGAGAATTCTGTGGCAGGCACAATATGAAAACTTATGTAATTTTGAGTTCCATATGCTTTTGGGGTTGTCTCCCTACATCAGGGCCCCATTTTTAGTTTTATAACACCACCACCATTCAAGTATGCCAGAGAAAGATTTTAAAGTAAACAAACAGGTTAAGAATGTTTCTTCTGCAATCAAGAGACTGATTAATCTATAGCTAAAAGCTGTTCCCATTCTACCGCATTCTGACAGTCCCGACTGAACTGTCAAATCCCCTTCAGAAGTTATCTATGGATCAACAATTTGATGATTCCTCAATACCTCTCCACTTTTAGAAAAATTCTCTGGAGATGCTTGAGTTTATCAATCAGAGGATAGTAAAGTAATGTTACTTTAACACCGAGTAACACAAATAACACAAGAGGAAGAGAACAGCAATGCTGTTTTATAAATATTTAAGGAGGAGCTATACAATGTAAATACAGCTTATACTAGTGAACCGTACACTTAAAAATGTTTAAGGTGGTGAATTTTGTTCTTTTTTCTGACCACAATTAAAAACAAAAAAATCTAAAAGGAGGAGCATATTAAGTGGAAATGCCAAAGTAGTTTCAAAGAATTATGTCTTCAAGCATCATTTTGGTTTGGATTTTGGAAAATAAGAGTACCTCAAAATCATCACATTTGTAACCCCAGTATCTAATTCAGGGAAAGAAAGGGGAGAAATGGAAAAGTGGGAACAGTCTGAAGTAGCCTTAGCTAACTGGGTATAACTGTGCAGCCACATAGAGCAGTTCCAAGGTCTCTCTCTAGTAAGTTCATCTGTGACTAGTCCTTTCATAAAAGAAACTACAGTGCCATGTCAAGGGCACATGAGACTGCCTGACGGATGCAATATATATTGTCAACTATAAAAATCTAAATGATTTTTTTAGACCCTTGTTTCTTTTCAGGTAGTTAATCAATAATCTTCTGGAGTTTAATATGAAAGAGTTTCTACATCACTGGCATGGACCTAAAAAAGGTAGAAGTAAAACACTGTGGAAAATATACAAAAATAAAGGTAAATGTTTGCAAGATGATATCCTATATCAAGCCTGTTTTTTAGGCTTAATTTACAAATAGGACCAACATAGTACTCTGAAATTACTGACAAAATAAAATAGCTTCTTCTAAGTAGGTATGTTTACATCTTCAACCTCTAGCACAAATAGGGAGAGGAAGAAAATAGTAAAAAGGGTGCTGAAGATAGTTACAGTGGAAGGGGAATGAGCTTCAACCATCAAAAAGTGGGGCACTAGGGAAATGTCAATCACCACTTGCGTAAGAACTATGGCAAGAAATAGAAACCACATGAATCCTAAAACAGTGTTATATTCCATTAACAGTAGAATCAAAATATTTTGATCAAGCAGATGAAATAAATGCAGATGTATGACAAACCAAGTTACAAAATTTTATATCTGTTGATAAAAAATTTTTTTTGGCTGCTAAGCAAATAATACTAGGTGATGTATTCAGACCCCTCAAACTTGACACTTTCTCCATTTCTGAAGTCATGCTGCAAAATCGAGGATCTAAGGGTTGATATACTGCACAGCCACTGCCTTGAGATTTTAAAAAGATACTGTGAGATATACAATTGAGGTATCTGCTGCCAGTTCCAGAACTGTGAAGAACTATTAATGGAACCAACTGGGAGCAAAAAGATAGTCGTCTCTACTGATGAGTCCAACTAGATTAAGGGACCAGTAAACGAAGAACATGTCATTGAAGTCTTGATTTCAGACTTTTAAGAAATCTCTAATGGATATCATCATTTAAATAAATATCCAGAAACAGAGCTGTGTGAGATGTTCTCTTTACGACATCCACGGTAATACTGAACACTTAAGGATTCTTAGTATCATCTAGTTTGATGGCATCCCTCTTTATTGCAATAAGAGGACCAGATTGTCAGGCATGTTTGGAATTCTCTTAAAAGAGTTCAGATTTGCATGCCTGGATGGTATAACATCCTTTATATCCAGGACACTAATGTATGTATCTTTTTTGTGATGGATTACCAAGCTCAAGAAAGTCAACTATTTAGAAGGTAGCTTTGTTTAAGAAGGTCATCTTGCTGAAAAGCCCAGAATATCTTGAGAGAACACCATGCCTCGGTCTCACATCTTCTTTATATTTGAGAGCTTGACAGGTCAGAGACTTAGGTGTGATGATAAAGAATTCTCTCACATGTAGCTCTGAATGGTAATGACACGGCAGCCATCAGTCTCGATAAAGATAGTTACTGTGAAAATTTCTAGAGATGTTACAGGCAGGAAAGTCTTTTTCCAGTTGGTGTCCACAGTAGACCTGTAACATCTAGCCATTCCACTGAAACAAACTGGATTTGGCAAAATTTGATTTGTATTCCAGTTCTTGACATACAGCTTCATGATTGATTCTGAAGTCTGAGAGAGCTTGAGAGTAGTATGGACTCTTGGTAAATTGATCATCCTGACATAAACACAGTAAAACTGAATTGTCATTTTGTGAAGATCTGACAAGCTGAAGCCTGAACAAGGAAGCATTGATGACCTAAAATTAAGGATCTAACAGTAGGTTATTTCCAGACCCCAAATCAGCTAGTCCTCAGTTTATCAGTAGGATTTTCCTGAGGAACAGATCTTTATATTTTTCTTTATTCACAAGAGGATTCAGATTCCTGAGTACCCTCATCTGAACTTATTTTGGACCAGAAATAATAGGTAAACCTTTGTCCAACCCTACGTAGGTGAAAGTCTCTATTGCTCACTTGGCCAGTAAGACATGAGTCTCTTTATTATATATTCCATTTGAAAAGTCTAGAATTTAAACGTTAGCTGTGATAATTCCAGACATGCATCAGTTTCTGACGTGACCTCCTACCTGCAGATCCTGTATGAGTGGGAGTAGCAAGTAAAATAGTTAGGATCTTGGATGACTATGCTGCTGAACACAAACAGGCTATTAATTCTTGTACCCGTGGCGTTCTGGAGATTCTCCCTTTTTTCTGTATCTATAAGGATGGTTGCGAGGTTTGTACCAATCTCCTTTGGAATATCCTCTATTGTGATAATGTGCTTTCTGATCATGACTGTAAAAGTATCGATGTTGGTTATAGTATTTGTTGTGGTCTCTATAGTCATTTTCTTTAATACTGTTTTCTTCTGCAACAACAGCATTCACATCTTGTCCAAAGAGGGAAGTACCATCAAAGGGCAAGTGTGAGATCTTCTCCTGGGTTTTCTTAGTGAGAGATGTAAGTCGGAGCCAGGCTTGTCTTCTGTAGTCTATTGCCATTGCCATAACTCTGACTACGGAATCCATTATGTCTCTAGTAGTACAAAGCTGCCAAAGTCCGGCATCCATACCATCAGATATTATACATCTTGCTTTTCCACGATCAAACTCTGGGTCATGAACCAGATCCTCCATATCTTCCCAGAGTTTACGCTGATATTGAGTCATATAAGCCATGTAGCTAGCAGCTCGGGCTGCAATGGAAGCAGCATGGTAGAATCTACAACCCATGACCTCCATTTCTTTTGAGGTAGAATCTAAAGGAGATGTTGTGCTTCCTCTTTTGCTGTGCTCTAATGCTTCTACAATAGGGCCCTCAGCTGGTGGATTTGGTTGGAAAGGAGAGGTATCCTTGGCCACAGGATATACCCTGTGCCCCATGAAGGAAGAAGGATGGCAATCAGCAGGGTCTTTAAAAACCTCAGTGGTGGCAATTCTCAGAAGAGGATGCAATGGAGGAACCAAACGTTTCTTAGAGGTCACACAATCAGGTTTCCCTTCACATGATTCTGCTTCAGATTGTAATGTTACTCTCTTTATAACACCTCTCTGTTCCATTCTTTTCAAAAGACCTGTGAAACTAGACTGACTGGGGTCAGTTGGCTGCCCTTTGTCATCAGCTGAGGGGGATTTGCAGTCAGTTTCTTCATCAACTGTGGATAAATTTTCATCCTTAGAGGTGGAGATGTCCCATGGCACTGAGGAGTTCTCACTTGGCCTAGAATGATGAAATCTAAAACAGCTCCTAGACTGCAGATCACGTATCACTCGGGACATCTCAGCCACTTGTGTCTGAAGATAAAGGATGGCATCCTGTCCATGCTGTGAAGCTGAAGAAGACTCTATAGGTAAATCCTCCTTGACCTCTGAAGAGGCCAAAGATTCTTGGGGGACCAGAACTGGAGATGAAGGCAGAGTCTGAAAATTTTGTGATGGTTTAAGTGTCTCTGTCTCAGAGATCTTAATATCTGAATTATTTTGATCATTTTTCTGGTTCTCCAATGGGTTCTCAACAGAAGAAGGTTGAGAAACTATCCTTTGTGGACTGCTGGTACAACTCCCAGAGGAGGAGCTGCTGTCTCCAATGGGAAGAGGAACACTGCAGCTAGAGCACATTTCTGGGCGATGATTCTCAGAGGATGGCACCTTAGACTCAGGCATTCTCTGGGTTATCCACATGAACAAGAAAACCAAGGAAGAAAAAAAAATGCTTTTAATATGTTAACTTTCAAGTGCAGAGATGCATGTCCAGTAAGTAGAACTCAATTTTTAAAATTATTATAACAACAATGAAAGATGCAATCCACTACAGATCAGCAAGGGGATCAGAGAAGTCAAATCCACAAGGTTTCTACACAAAAACCTAATACCAACTATGGCTATTAATGTGGCACTCTGTCTACGAAAAAAAAAGTGAAAACAAGCCCAGTTCAAGTGGTGCCATCCTGGCCTGCTGCTTGGTCTCATGCTAGGATAAGAAGAGGTGGTGAGACTACTGTTGATTAACAATCTTTTTTAAAAAATCCCATTCAATGTATGTAAGCCAACAAGTAAAAGCTAAAAAGCAGAGAACTCAAGTTCCACTGAGAACAAAAAATATTTCTAAAAGTTCCCATTGCAGAGTCACTTTTAAGCCCCTTTAAAATTTTCTCCTGTTCACTCTCCAAGAATAACAAAACTTCCCAGTTGCATAGTCCTACTTTATTGTTTGTAGTTTCCAAGGAGCTTATTTACATATGTGTTACCTCATTTTGTCCTCACAACAACCCTGTGAGGTAGGTATTACCCTTATTTAATAAAGAAACTAAGGTTAAAGGTTTCTTAATTTATCCAAAATCACAGAATTAATAAGGAGCAAAGCTCAGATTAAAACCTACATATATTGATTCCACGTCCAAGTCTCAATCCCCTGTATCATAGAGAAAGTTTTCTGGCCATGTTGAGAAGAGCCAGGAGTTCTCTAACCCATCAAGAAAATAGCCCATTAATAGAAATTTGGGCTAAGACAAATGAAAGACAAGATTGCTACAAAGGGCTCAGCTAGTTTGATTCTCAGAGTAAGGGAAATATTGGTTTAAGGGTCAAACCCACAACCAAAAAATCACAGGTAAGAGACAAAAACTCTAAATATGTGAGTGATAGATGAGGTTAAAAGGAGTGACGACTGAAGTACCATGCCACCTAAACCCTTTCCCGCATTCCATTTCCTAAAAGGTCTTCACATAGCCTTCCTTCCAATGTAAAACAAACTTTCTGTGGCCACGTGGTTCTGGAAGAAAAGAATCCAGTTATACATGGCACTTGAGGAGAGATGGGAAAGGAGAAGGGGAGAAGGGCACAAGGAGCCAAAAAGCTTGCAGTTTTTATTCCATTTTCCTTTTATCAGATACCATCTTCAAGGCTTAGAACTTTCCTGTGTTGTGTTATCCCTTCACATCCTCATTGAAAGTAAAGAAACAAAACTGGAAGTAGGAGATATTTTGGGCCAAGGACTCAATGGACACCTTTTGTGGTTCACTCTACAGAAACGGGCCATTCTCTAAAGTACTATAGATCCTAAAAACAACCATGATTGACTTGATAACTCTCTTTAGACAATGCCTCTTAAATGACAGAAGTGAAAGAAATGCAAATCAAATATAATGTACTTACATCACTATGAGAGGTGCTAGGCTCTTCATCATCACTGCTGACCAGATCAATGTATTCAAGAACAGGTCTTAATGGTCCTTCCTATGAAAGAATTGAGCAAATTGACAAGTCATGTACAGTTATTCAAACTAAACTGGTCGTTCAAAACAATCACTTTTTTCTTGGGATTGGCAAAAATTCCTCCAAACAAGAAGTCTACAGTTGGCAGAAAGTAATCAGAACACAGAAAAATATTCAGATACACAAATAAGAAACAGTAAGATCTGAGAGTTTAATACCTTGGTAGAATATTAGGACAATGGTGATCCTTTGAGGAAAGGATTAAATAATAATAAAGGAACACTGCTACAAGGATACAAATAGCAGACAGTATGATTCAATGCTTTTTAGATGGGATGAGTATTAATTATCTGTTAGATAACCAAGCTCAAAAACATGTAGTTCTTTGACTAACAGCTCAGCTTTATCTCTCACTCCTATAGTCAAACATCAAACCTGATTCTTCATCTTGTTTCCAACCATACTGACTGCATCACAGACTAGGCCTTGAATGCTTGGTCTAAAAATGCCCAGATTTTATTCTACAAGCAAAAGGGAATAAATACACAGATAGGAAAAACATGAGAGCTGTGCTTTAAATAGATTAATCACACAGACAAGTATGGAGAGTGGGGAAAGCAGGGTAATTAATCAATCCAATAACACAAAACTAAAATAATGGCAAAGAGAATAGTGTTGTGGTACGCACTCAAGAGAATACATGGGTATAAAAAAAAAAAAAAAAAAAGACTGGCTATGAAAAACAGCCCCCTCGCCAAATAAAACAAAACCCCAACAATAACAAGGAATTAATTAAGTCCTTAAAGTTTCAAACCTGGGAACTAGAAGGATACTAATGCCATCAGAATAATCTGGAATACAGAAATGGGATGCTGACATTCTTTTAGACATAATGGGTTGATGTAACAGTGGTACACAAAGGTAACTGGCAGATAGCTGGGAATGCAGGGCTATAATCTGGATGTATGAACACAGCCAGATAAACAGATTTGGGACTAAAGACTAAACTGAAACTGTGATAGAGCCAACAAAGAAAGCAAGGAGGAGAAAAAAGAGATTGAAGAAGGTTCTTGAGAAAATGCAGAATTTAGGACTCAGGAAGAACCGCTAAGCAGGAAATCAGGGATTAGAGAAGAATCAGGAATACATAAATTCAAAGCAGCTAGAGAAAACCTCAACAAAAAGTTTTCAATGCTAATGTGGCTCAAAATGCTGACAATCAAAAAAACTGCCACTGAATTTGACAACAAGATTTTTTAAAAACACCTGAGAGCAACTTTTAATAAAGTAGCAAGCATACAGAAGCAAGGCTCTAAAAAATTAAGTAGAAAATGAAGCAATAGGGGCACCTGGCTGGCTTAGCCAGCAGAGCATGCAACCTCATCTTAGGGTTGTGAGTTCCGGCCCCGCACTGTGTGCAGAGATTACTAAAAATAAAATCTTAAAAAAGAAAAAGAAAAAGAGACAGTAAAGGCCATGAGTCAAGAATATTCTTTTTAAAAATCTAGTATGTTATGAACAAGAGTAAGGAACACAGGAGGCGAAGTCAGCTAAGGGAAAGATTTCTTAAGATGCAGAAAGCTGACTGTTGGCAAACAGTGTAAAAACTAGCAGAAAAAGACTACAGTCAGGAAACGAAAGCTAAGATCTAGTTAAAGATCCTCTTCCTGAGAAGAGGCATCCAGTCTCAAAGATAACTTGTTTCTCTCTTAGGCTACAACTTCTCCCCAAGCAGAAAACTGCTATCCTTTAGGACAGGTTTTATCAAGCCACTAGGATAAAACCAGAGAGCAGAACTCCTGGGCAGGAATCATGTAATGAACAATTAAGATTTTCACCTGAGCTGTAAAAATGGAAGTTTAAAAGAAGGGGAAAACAGGGACAGAGTATTTTCCAATTATGGTCAACAGAGATCAATTAACTACTTTAAGACTAAAATCGACCAGAGCTATGGTCAATATCATACATTCAATCCAAAAAGAAAGTGGAAGAAATAAAAATATGGTAGCTTCTCCTGTTCATAAATCACCTTTAGTTTTCGTCTCTTCAAGAAATGTGCATTTGAGGGGTACCTGGGTGGCTCAGTGGGTTAAAGCCTCTGCCTTCGGCTCAGGTCATGATCCCAGGATCCTGGGATGGAGCCCTGCATCAGGGGTCCTGGGATGGAGCCCTGCATCAGGCTCTCGGCTAGGTGGGGAGCCTGCTTCCCCCTCTCTCTGCCTGCCTCTCTGCCTACTCGTGATCTCTGTCAAATAAATAAATAAAATCTTAAAAAAAAAAAAAAAAGAAATGTGCATTTGAAACTATTATTATGTCCATAGAACAGTACATCAAGAAAGTCTCCAGGTTATCAGAAATACACAGAGACAGAAGCAGAGAAAGCTTCCATGAAGAGATAGGGAAAAAGGGAGAAAAAAGAAGGTAACAGAATACAAAACAAAAAGAATGGGAAATAATAAACAAATGAGAAAACCCCCCCTTGAAAAAAACAAAAGAAAACAGGATAAGGAGAACGGTCACAAATGGGCTTTAAAAATAGCTGCAGAAATAGTAGAAAGGATAAGAACAGGGAATGATGACAGAAGACTATTAGAAATTTACTATAGGGGTGAACCATTAGACCACTAGACCATATGCAACCAACCATTTCTGAACTGCAGAAGAACAGTAGCTTTATATGATTCACACTAGTTAAAAGAATAAAAAGAATCAAGACAGAAAATTCAAAAATGAGAAAAAGCGGAAGAGTCATTTAAAATACTTATTCACTCAACAATACTTGTGAAGTTATAAGTGAAAGAGTGGTAAAAGATAACAACACGTATTTGAGACCACCGAAAAGGCAGAGGCTGATTTAAAAAGCTAAGAGAAGTAATCCCAAAGGAATATATTACTTATAAGCAAACACTCTACACTTCAGCTAATTTTCATATTGAATATGGAAAAAGTTCCACCATAATGACTTAAAGAACTAAAACATTTTAGTATTCCATTTATTTTACTATTAATAACATTTATCACTGAGCCCTATATAGGCACTGTGCTGAACTTTTCAACACTATTTCATTTAATCTCCAATTACAAGGTGAAATAGTGTATTGTTGCTATTATTCCACTTAACAAATGAGAAAACTAAGTGAGGTACACCTGATTCTCTATAAACTTAACTGGCTGTGTGGTCATAATAATTCTGAGGCTAAGTTCAAAGTATACATACTACTAAGGGGGGGGGTGGCTGGGTGGCTCAGTTGATTAGGAGTCTGCCTTCAGCTCAGGTCCTGATCCCAGGGTCCTGCCAAGCCCCCCACTGGGCTCTCCAGGGAGCCTGTTTCTCCCTCTCCCTCTGCCTGATGCTCCCCCTGCTTGCATGCTCTTTATCAAATAAATAAAATCTTTAAAAACAAAACAAAACAAATTTTTTTTAAAGATTTTTAAGAAATCCCTACATCCAACATGGGGCTCAAACTCACACCCCCAAGATCAAGAGTCACATGCTCTACTAACTGAACCAGCCAGGCAACCCTACATACTACTTTTATATATCAATGTCTTATTACCTAAGTTTCTGAGAAATACTCTGTATTCCTTCAATGAGACTTCTCACTATTGTACCCACCTCTGAATAATTCATAATACTAACCAAAAAATAAGTTATTAATATCCCCAAAAGAATGTTAATTATATAAATGTCAAACACGATTTCTTAAAATGTTTATAATGATGCTTATGTTCTTAACACGTATAAATGCATATAGTTTTGCAATTAAAGGTATTTTATTTGAAGCTGCTCCATCCATCAAAGAGTAAACCATCACTCTCATCCCTTTTGTACCAATATCAAAATCAAAGGATGCTACTTCCCAAGACCATACAATTAGGGCCAGGAGCACAAGTACAAGCAAAGTAATTTAGGAACAGAGCTGAATTAATATTTTCAGTTAAATAAAATTTTTTAGGGGCGCCTGGGTGGCTGAGTGGATTAAGCCTCTGCCTTCGGCTCAGGTCATGATCTCAAGAGTCCTGGGATCAGACCCTGCATGGGCTCTCTGCTCAGCAGGGAGCCTGCTTCCCTCCATCTCTCACTCTCTGCCTACTTGTGATCTCTGTCAAATAAATAAATAAAATCTTAAAAAAAATTTTTTTAATGACACAAAAAGCTTTCATTCCTGTTATCAGGAAAATGATTTTCATATAAAGCCAGACACCAATTAACTGCTACAGTTGACCTTTGACGAACATCAGGGTTATGGGCTCTGACCTTCCCTCCCACCACATAGAATTGAAAATCTACATATAACTTTTGATTCCCCCAAAATATAACTACTAAAAGCCTACACTTGACTGGAAGTCTTATCTATAACATAAACAGTTGAGTAACACATATTTTGCATGTTGTATGTATTATATACTGTATTCTTATAATAAAGCCAAACAAAATCATAAGAAAAATACATTTACAGTACTGTAAAAAAATCTTATCTGCATATAAGACCCATGCAATTCAAACTTGTGTTGCTCGAGGGTCAAGCCTAAATGGAAAATAATGTCAATACACTAAGACACAGTCTACAAGAAATGTAGTTTACCCCAGTCTAAAACAAAAACTACAGATATGAGCATAGATGCACAACTCTAACCTAAAACCTTAAATATAATGCATGTGTTTTTTTTTTTTAAATATATTTCCATATATAGAAGTTAGGGATATAATTTACTTCTGTAGTCCTGCCCAGTTCAAACATTTTGAATGATTCCCAACTGACTACTTTAAGTTCAAATTTAGTCTACAATTCAAGACCTACACTATCCAGCCCACCCTTTCCTCTTCTACTTAAAAAATTTTTATCCTCCAGAATTACACATAATCCTCTGCTTTCCCAATTTGATGTCTTCCCTTATTTCTTTTCAAAATGCTCTTTTAAATACAAATACTACATGTTATTTATGCCAAAAGTCTATTTTTTTTAATAGCACCATGTACTTTTATAAAAGAACTACTTACACAGTTTTCATCACCTATCTTATCACCCACACTGAAATATGGACACTTATAGGTAGGACGTATTTCCAATTAACTCTGCAGTTCTAGAGTACTTACTTCATGACTTTGCATATCAAAAACTGCAACATTATTTTCATTTATTGACCTATAGGCCCAAGACACCCAGCCAGAAGATACCTTGGTATTTTTGCTCATGACCCCTTTCCACTGTAAAGTATTACCATTTCACCTACGTGCTTCTGAAGTTACTTATGAAATTATACTTTTTCCTCACCATTTCTACATGCTCAATGATTTCACATCATACCAATAACCTTGGCTGAAACCTAAATCTCATGTGTTATTACCAAGATTACAATAGGTTGCCTCAGCAGTTTTCACACCTTTGTATCTCAAGTAGAACGGTGAAAATGTCATCAGCTCTTAGCTAAAATAGTTTTGTGGGAACAAATTAAAATATCTGCAGTTTCAAAGACAAAAAGATGGTGCCTGAATAAGGAATTAGACAAGTATTCTCGCTCTCGGAAAGCTTGCGTTCACACTACTTCACTTTAACAAATAACCTACATTAGTACCCATTTTCACTTACTGAAGGAAATTAAAAAAAAAATATTTTATTTATTTGACAGACAGAGATCACAAGTAGGCGGGGGTTAGGGGTAGCAGGCTCCCTACCGAGCACAGAGCCCAATGTGGGGCTGGATCCCAGGACCCTGGGATCACGACCCCAGCAGAAGGCAGAGGCTTTAACCCACTTAGCCACCCAGGTGCCCCTAAAGGAAATCTTGAGGATTTTTGCTTATACAAAAAAAGGTAAAAAGCCAAACTACTGCACAGTGCTTGTCTCAATGCAAGCCATTATAGAGGTAGCATGCACCCTAAGTAGCAAGAGTAGCACAGCCAAGCTCCTTCCCTGGGAGGTAAACTCAGCATCTCACTAGCACAGCTTTGAATTATCTGCAAGTACCTGTACAGTATCTTGATTTATTTTGTGCAACTGTTAGCAAGATGTCCTAAGGTAGCAAAACAGCCTAAAAGAGGTTATTTTTTTGGTCTGGAAATGCTAAAAATTTTCCCATATAAATTAATGGTAATTACTACTACACTTTATGCCATCTTAGTTTATGAAAGATTTCATAGGTTTCAAAGGTTTCTACTTTACATTAGTGGGGTGTGGGACGAGGGGTGGGTGGAGACATATCTATATTACTAAACTAAACAGAAAATGAGAGCAAAATCTTTAAATAAGTTTCTGTTACGGTAACACATTCATTTGAGGTTACTGACTTTGCAAAATCAAAGAGCACACTTACAAACAGGGCGGTTCTCTATACATACATTTCAACAAAATTTAAATGAAAGAACTCATTTTTGCACCTCCACATCTGTATTGCTTTCCTTTAGCATGCTATTTGGTTCCAGACTTTGTATTTTGCAAACCACATAAACACTGCTGTGCCACCAATGTGGATTAAAGATGGGAAAATTAGATTAATGAGCATGAACTAAGAAATTCAAACCAGAGTAAATCAAAAAGTCACGCCATTAATGCCGTTTTTGTATCTGAAGAAATCTTATGCAGAGAACAATGTTATTGTTACTGGATAAGCATTACCCGAAGGAGTCAAGTGTAAGATCAGCTTACAGAAAGAAGTAGAAGGCTCTGTCTCTGAATTTATTTTGAAACAGAATTAAGGTTTCATTAATTATCATTTAAGTGTTATCACTAAATTTGTAGAAGAAATGTTATTAATAGGTTTCTTCTAGTATTGTAATTGTACTTATTACATATAATTTACATCTTCATTTCCACTATCAGAACTTTGAACCTTTATTTGCCAACCCCTAGGGAAAAATAGAAGATGTTGGATCTAGATGAATAAACAAGACATTGACTGTATTATTTTTTATTCTTCATGCAAAGATACATAGATCCTCTACATATAAAATTTAAATTAAAAGACATTTAAAAAATAATTAAGAATATTTTAAACTTCAGCTTAGTACCTTACTAAGCTTGTTAATCACAAGTTATAATTTTTCATTCCACCAGTACCAAAAAAAGTGTTTTCAAATCTTATTAATTCTATCTGTAATTCTCAAGCAAGGCCCATAGTTTAGAAAGTATATACTTCCTTTATTTGCACAAAATATAAATATTCTCCAAATATACCAGTATTCAGAAACCTGAAATATTTGCCTAAGGAGCATGGAATGCCATTACCAACATACTTTAGTCCACAGTAAAGAAGGAGAAGGATACAATCCGATTCACCCGCATCCCGGGAATCCTTGTAAGTTTAAAAGGAGGACAGAGAACACGTGAAGCTAATGTAACAGTGAATGTTAACTATACTGGAATTGAAATAAAAGGACAAAGCACAGTAAACGCTGGCAATGGTGAGGAAAGCCCCCCCCCCCCCAATCATGTAAAAGACTCCTATAGAAATCCATTAAACTGCAATATGACAATGGATCACCACAATGGCCCTAATGCTCGGGTATGTAGAGGATACCATTTAATAACCACCTTTACAAACTGCCCCAAATCAATAAACACAAATACACATCCAACACTCTATTAAAGAAAAATTATACAACTTTGACAGCAAACCTCAACTAATCACTGGTTTGTAGAAGTTTCTGGCTAGCTACCACTTTAAACAGACCCTTTGCAAAACTTTAGTTTTGGGTGAAAACCATCCCGCAATACATCATGACCCCAGTTCCCCTAAACCAAGGCTTTACAAAGCATGGCTCACAGAGTCACATGTCCTTTTGTTTGTTCCAAAGTGAAGATTCCTGGGTCCCACCTTCAAATTCTGATTCAGCAGCTGTGATGTGAGGCCCAGAAATCTGCACTTACACATCCTAATGCTCAGAGACCACTGTCCCAAAGGGAAGACAGTCAAAACCACGTGTGTTCCTGGTGATGCAGGGTCTTCATTATGAACGTCAACTCCTGCATTATGCTGTAACGTGGTGATCTCAGAGGTTGGAGAAGTCTTCAAGCTACCTGACTTCACGTTATGAAGCTCCAGAACGCTCCCACCTTGAGTGCTTGCAACCCTTCTTGCTTTCTCTGGTCCCTTCCCTCTAACCTGCAGGTCGTGTTCCAAGGACACTCTTGCCCTGCTTCCAAACACACTCTTAAGAGCGCGCGACTTTGCCCACAGGAAGTATAAAGTGGCGCTAATGAAGGCATAAGAAGCGTGATTCCATGTGCAACATGTCCTTTCGGGCACAGTCTTTGTGGTGGCCCCTGCAGGTGCTCAGAGACCCCGTTCGGTAAATTTCCTCATCCTGTGCCATACTCCCCAGTGCCCAGTACCTGCGAGACATCCACACCCAGCTGCTGAACGACGAACGGACAGGCGAGGTATCATCATCACAGAACGGCTTACCGCGCATAGGTTTGGGATTCTGGGAAACACCCGAATTTCGTTGCTACTTACACTGACAAACTGAATGTCATCTTCATTTTCATCCGGTGTTGCCTCAGATGCCTCAGGCCCAGCTGGAGGGACAGACTCTATCATCTATAAAAATAAGCCAGAATATGCTTATCTACATACAGCCACGTACCTGGAGGAAAAGATTCTTCCCAAAAAGAACGAAAAAGGAAGAGCTCTGTAAGACACACAGCAAGCTCTCGAGGAAACCGAACTGAGCACAACTGCATGCAAATCCCACCAAGAACAGGACTCGATGGAGTCGGGCTCTGCCTCTGCAGACGTGGAGCCATCCATAGGGAGGGACGCCGAAAACGACTTACCAGACCCTGCGAATTCCCCAAATCTCCTCAAGGAAGAGGGAAGCACGCACACCGCCGAGGAGCGAGCCTGTCTCAAAATGTCGCTCTCGCGGCCCGAGCAGCGGCAACAGGGACCTCCGTGGCCGGCGCACAGGGCCGGGGGCGGCCGGGCGGCCATTGTTACTGCTGGTTCCCCGCTCACACCCGCACCAGGCCCGAACGCGGAGCTCGGCCCGAGACGCGGACACTGTCGGCCGCCGCAGCGGCGGCCGCCGCGCACCAGGCCTCACTCTCAACAAAACACAAAGCCCTTCCCGGCTCGCCTGAGAATGCCGCGGCCCGACGCTCGCCCACTCACCTCCGACCCCGGGTCTCCCATTTCTCCGACGGCCTAACTGACAGCACCACCGCTCCTGCGGTCCCCGCCGCCGCCGCCGCCGTCGCTGCCGTCCCCGCTGCCGCCGCCGCCACGACTTCCCTTCCCGCCCAGCACCGCGTCGCGCCGCCGTGACCCGCCCCTGCGTGAGCGCCGACGCCGCCGACGCCGCCGACGCCACCGACGCAGCGGGCGGAAAGAGGTGCGAAACCGCTTCAAAAGGAGGAGCGACCGGCTCTGGGCCGCTATCCGCCGGAGCCTCTGTCTCGCAGTCCCGGCCTGCCTTCCCCGGGCCGCGCGGGAAGCCGGGAGTTGTAGTTCTAGTTGCGCCCGAGACTGTCCCGCATCTAATTGAAGAGTGGAAAAGGACTCCGAGCGGCGGCGCTTACGGTCCTATAGGCTGTTACTGCACTAAAGCAGTGTACTAGATGACCTTTACCTCTAGATCAGTTTTCCTCTCCCCATCTTTATTCTGTTTTTCCCTTTTCTTTTTATAGAAATATTGGTCTAGATAATCTAGATCAGTGGTGTTAAAATGCTCTTTCATTGTTTGCTCAGATCCTTACCAAATTAGTGGCCGACATTTTTCTTCTCATTATTTGCACGTGAATGATTGCGAACAGATAAGTTTATGAAAACAAATATTTACTGAAGATATTTTTTATAAAGATTTTATTTATTTACTTGAGAGAGGGACGCACAAGCAGGGCGTGGGGGAAGGGGAAGACGTCGACTGTGCTGAGCCGGGAGCCCTGGTGGGGCTCATCCCAAGACGCTGGGATCGTGACCTGAATCGAAGGCAGATGCTTAACTGACTGAGTCTCTCAGGCGCCCCCTGGCGATATTATTTCAAACCTTTTCCTCCTAGCCCCATGAGCCCAAGATCACCTAACAAATCTGCAGTCCCACAAAATCACATTTATGAATTTGACTGTGGCCTGCTATGAATGAGATCACATAACAGAGGAACTATGAGGCATGTTACAAGACAAAGGAATAGAGTTATTAGGAAATTTTAAGGAAGGGTAGAGGTAGGTGAAACTTTTGTGAAGCAGTATTTTGATAGGTAGACAATTAGGGCTGTGTGTAAAGAGTTCAAGGTCACGTCTAGACTACAAAGTAGCCCCAGAGTCCTGTTAACTTGAAAACTACAGAGATAACATAGATAGTGATTGTTGGCCCAGAACCCCCTTATCTGGAGCTCTGCCCTTGGTTTGGTGTGAAGCTAGTTTTCTGTGTCACAGGGATCAGCCAAGGGAGGGATATTTCATTCTTACTAATAGATATTCAAACAACAAAGCTATTACTCCATGATTTTAGAGAACACATTTTCTCATTGTGTAAATAAGAAAGCAGTAGTCACCAAGGTCACCTTGACTCTACAAGTACACTATTTCTTTGGGAGAAATATTGTCTGTTAATTTTTCAGCTGACTTTATCTCTCTGTCTGTATTTTGAGACCAGCAGATATTTACTTTCTCATTTGGAGGTCTGTTTTTGCTGGTCTAAATGAGAACATGGCATTTGATTACTTATGTTGGTAGCTAGTATTTGATGGATCTGTTTGATTTCTCCACAGTGCACGACACCTGCAGGTGCATTTGTACCAACTAAATTTGGGACTTGCAGATGAAAGTTGAGAAAAAGAAACATCTGCTAAGATAATAAACCCAAAAGCTGCATGTAAATTAACCATTTTTAAATCTCTTAAATGTCTAGATGAGATTTGAATTTAAACAATTTTTCTAATGTGCTGGTGAGAGTTCCGTGGAATATATACTGTGAATGGATGCAGGTGGGAGTCATTCAGTTAAGTTCTTGGAAAACAAACAGTAAATATGTAGCTGTAGCCCAAATATGCTCATGCCTTTCAATTCAGTAATTGTTGCAGGGATAGTTTTCTCTCTTTATCTCTCTTTTTAAGATTTTACTTATATATTTGAGAGAGAGAGAGCATGCCCGAATGAGTGGGGGTGGGGTAGAGGGAGAAAGACAAGCAGACTCCCAGCTGAGAAATGAGACCACCCCAAGGCTTCATCCTAGGACACTGAGATCATGACCTGAGCTGAAGGCAAATGCTTAACCAACTGAGCCACCCAGATGCCCTTGGAATAGTCTTTTTCATTTTACATATTCTAATAGATGCATGGTGATATCACTTAAATTTGCATTAACCTAATTACTAATAATTTTGAAAATCTTTTTATGCATTCATTTGCCATCCATATATATATACTCATTGGTCATGACTTTAAGGTCTTCTGCCCATTATTTAAATTACTTTCTTTATTGAATTTTAAGAATTGTTTATTCTAGATTCAAGACCTTAACAGATATGTGATTTCCAAATATTTTCTCCCAGTCTGTAGCTTGCCTTCCCATTTTCTTAAAATTGTCTTTCAGGGGCGCCTGGGTGGCTCAGTGGGTTAAAGCCTCTGCCTTTGGCTCAGGTCATGATCCCAGGGTCCTGGGATCGAGCCCCACATCAGGCTCTCTGCTCAGAGGGGAGCCTGCTTCCCTTCCTCTCTCTGCCTGCCTCTCTGCCTGCCTGTGATCTCTGTCTGTCAAATAAATAAATAAAATCTTTAAAAAAAAATTGTCTTTCAATGAGAAGTTTCTACATTTGACAAAGTCCAATTTATGAATTTTTACTTGGTCATGCTTTTGGTAGTATATCTAAGAAATCTTTGCATAAGCAAATTTACAAATATTTTTGTCTTTGTTTTCTTCTAGAAATTTATAATTAGGTTTTAATTTTAGGTCTTTGATCCATTTTGAGTTCATTTTTACCTATGACAGGTATGGATTGAAGTTCATGGTTTTGCATATGAATGTACAAATATTTCAGCACCCATTGTTGACAAGATTATCCTTTCCTCTCTGAATTGCCTTTGTACCTTTGCCAAATACCAGTTGTTCATATATCTGTGGGTCTGTTTCTAAACTTTCTATTATGTTCTGTTGATGTATTTCTATCTTGACACCAGTACTATGCTCTCTTGATTACCGTAGCTTTGCAGTAAGTCTTGAAACCAAGTGGTGTTAGTCTTCCTGCTTTAATCTTTTTCAGATTTTCAGTTTTCTTTAATTTCTCTCAGCAACATTTAGTATTTTTCAGTGTATAAATATTTCACACATCTTGTCAGGTTAGTCACTAGGGATTTCATATTTTTTGATGCTATTGTCATTGGTATAGTTCTTCAAAATTCAATTTGACTTTTTAAATGGCTGGATAGTATTCTACTGTGTATATATACCACATTGTTTCTATCCTGTCATTTCTCAACAGACACTTAAATTGTTTCCAGGTCTCAGTTATTGTGAATAATGGTGCAATGAACATAAGAGTGCAGATATCTCTTCAAGATACTAATTTCCTTTTCTTTGCATATATATTCTGAATTGGGATTGCTGGATCATACAATAGTTCTATTTTATTTTCTTTTTTAGGGAGAGGGAGGGGGTTACAGGGGAAGGCAGAAGGAAAGAGAGAATCTTTTTTTTTTTTTTTTTAAAGATTTTATTTATTTATTTGACAGACAGAGATCACAAGTAGGTGGAGAGGCAGGCAGAAAGAGAGAGAGGAGGAAGCAGGCTCCCCGCGGAGCAGAGAGCCCGATGTGGGGCTCAATCCCAGAACCCTGGGATCATGACCTGAGCCGAAGGCAGAGGCTTTAATCCACTGAGCCACCCAGGCGCCCGGAAAGAGAGAATCTTAAGCAAACTTCACGCCCCGTGCAGAGCCCAATACAGAGCTTGATCTCAAGATCCTGAGATCATGACCTCAGCCAAAAATCAAGAGTTGGACGCTTAACTGACTGAGAAACCCAGGTGACCCTCTATTTTAATTTTTTGAGGAACTTCATACTATTTTCTGTAATGGTGTGCCAATTTACATTTCCACCAAGAGTGGACAAGGGTTCCCTTTTCTCCACATCTTGGCCAATGCTTGTCATCTTTTGAATTTTTTACAATAACCATCTTACAGGCATGAGGTGATTTTGACTCTGGTTTTGATTTATATATTCCTAATGATTAATGATGTTGAGCCCTTTTTATTTTAAATTTTTAAAAAATTTTATTTATTTATTAGCGAGAGAGAGAGAGCCAGAGAAAGCATGAGTGGGAAGTAGGGGAAGAAGGAGAAGCTTAGCAGGGAACCCGATGTGGGGCTTGATTCCAGGATCCTGGGATCACAACCTGAGCAGAAGGCAGATACTTAACCAACTGAACCACCCAGGTACCCTGAGCCCTTTTTAATATAACTGTTGTCCATTTGTATGTCTTCTTTGGAAAAATGTCTATTCAGGTCCTCTGCCCATTTCTTATTTGGGGATTTTTTTGCTATTGAGTTTTATAAGTTCCTGTATATTTGGATATTAACCTCTTATTGGATATGTGGGTTTATAAATATTTTCTCCCATTCTGTAAGTTTAACTTTTCATTTTATTAATTATTTGCCTTGCCGTGCAGAAGCTTTTTAGTTTGATATTGTCTACTTGGTTATTTTTGCTTTTGGGTTCTATGCTTTTGGTGTCATAGCCAAAAAAATCATTGTCAAAACCAATATCAATGAGCTTTTCCCTTGTTTTCTTCTATTAGATTTACAGTTTCAGGTTTTAAAAAAATTTTTTTTAAATTTTTAAAAATTTTTTTTAAAGATTTTATTTATTCATTTGACAGAGATCACAAGGAGGCAGAGAGGCAGGCAGAGAGAGGAGGAAGCAGGCTCCCCGCTGAGCAGAGAGCCCGATGCGGGGCTCGATCCAGGACCCTGAGATCATGACCTGAGCCGAAGGCAGAGGTTTTAAACCACTGAGCCACCCAGGCGCCCCAAGTCTTTATTTTTAATTGAAGTATAATTGAGATACCATATTATTTTAGTTTCAAGCGTACAGCACAGTGATTTCTAACTCTACCACCATTCTCATATGTATATACATGTTTAAGGCTCCATGCCCAATGTGGGGCTTGAACTCACAGCCCTACAATAAAAGTCATAGCCTTTATCAACAGAGTCAGTCAGGTGCCCCCTTCCCATATTTTCAATTCCACTATAACAAAGGGTCTTACCTTCTCGCTTACTTTTTGACTTATCCATTATTATGATTCATGGATTTCTATTTTATTTGGTGGGTTATAATTTTTGATCGCTCATTGCTATTGCAGAAATAAAACTGTATTTTATTGAGGTATGGTTGGCAAAATTGTGTATATTTAGGTGTACAATATATTTTGATGTTATACATTGTGAAATGCCACAATTAAGCTAATTAACATATTCATCAGCTTACATAGTTAACATTTGTGTGTGTGTGTGTGTGTGTGTGTGTGTGTGTGTGTGTATGTGTGTGGTGAGAACCCTTAAGACCTCTTCTTAGGGCACCTGGCTGGCTCAAGTTTTTAGAACATGTATTATACTTATAACCCTTGGGGTTATAAGTTCAAACCCCATGTTGGATGTAGAGCTTACTTAAAAAAAAGAAATCTTCTCTCTTAGCAAATTTCAAGTATATAATACATTTTTATTTTAGTCACCATGCTATACATTAGGTTTCCAGAACATACACCTCTGATAATTGAAAGTTTATTCCCTTGTACCAACATCTCCCCATTTCCCCCATCCCTACACTACCTGGTAACAACTGTTCTATTTTCAATTTCCTTGAGTTCAACTCTTTTACATTTCACATATGAGGTCATATGTGAAACATATCTGTCTTTCTGGCTTATTTTGCTTAGCATAATGTCTTCCAGGTATATCCATGGTGCTGTAAATGGCAGGATTTCCTTCCTTTTTATTTTATTTAATTAATTAATTTATTTTAAAGAGGTTTATTTATTTATTTGTCAGAGAGAGAGCACACAAGCAGACAGAGTGGCAGGCAGAGGCAGAAACAGGCTTCCCCCTGAGCAAGGTGCCCAATGGGGGACTTGATCCTAGGACCCTGGGATTATGACCTGAGCCAAAGCAGCCGCTAACTGACTGAGCCACCCAGGCATCCCTCCTTCCTTTTTAAATTTAAATTTTCATGTCTGTTTATTCTTCTTTAATTCTGAATAGTTTCTTTCTCAGCCCTTTCTTGTCTTTCAAATCATTGACATTTTTGGAGAATATAAGCCAATTATTTTATAGAATGTTCCTCAGTTTATGTTTGTTGGTTTTTCCTCATGATCACGTTCAGGTTATATCCCTGGCCAGAATACTACTTAAGTGATCTTGTGTTGCTTTTAAGGATTCACATTCAGAGATACATGATATTTGTCTGCCCCGTATTGATGATGAGGATTATTGATAATAATCATCTGGTTAAAGTATTGTCCACTTTCTTCCACTTTTTCTGCTGCACATTTAGATTTTTCTCCTTGTAATTTATGATCAATCTGTGATTTAATATGCCGAGAACATGCAAATATCCTCTCCTCATGAAACTTACACTTCAATATTTAGTATCCTCTGATGATTCTTGCCTAATCAATCTTTACTCTGATAGTTGTAAATAGTAATTTTCTAATTAGATTCTAATTACTCTACCACCCTTTCCATATTTTTAATTGACATTTTGCTATAATAAAGGGTCTTCCTATCTCCCTTACTTTTTGATTTATCTATTCATTTTTATTATGGATTCATAGATTTCAGTTTTATTCAATGGGTAATAACCCGTTAACGTCCTAATTTATTTTGGTGTTCAGATTGTCCCAGGTTTGGCCAGTTGGAGTCCTTTTTGCAGCCTCATGTGGCCATCATTCTTTGAACAGGCCCTTACTTTTTGGCAAAATATACAATGTTCCATGCACATTTGGTACCTTCTCAGCTCCCGCCCTGGAATCCGCCATTTCTACAAGGAACACTTTATCTTTTGGTGGAAAATGGTATTTAGAAATTAAGATCTGAGAAAAATGGATACAGGCCATCTTTAGCAAAAGGATAAAAGATAGTACCTATACTCAAATCCCAAAGTTTTTTTCTTAATCCTAGGAATCAAAAATAAGCTTAGTGCCAAAAGATTAACAAAGCTCAGAGCTAAGATTCAGTGTAAAACTTATCTCACCATTATGGGTAAAGTGACTTTTAATGGGTGCAGACCCAAAGATTCTCAGATGTGCTCATTCTTATCATATTAAAGAGTATGGAAACTGGGATCTCAGCAGAATCTAGGTAGCCCCTTCAAATTGTTAAAGCTCTAACAATAGAGGAACATCAGTGACCTGCCTATGTCATAATAAACCAAGTATATTTATTTATTTTATTTTTTATTATTTTTTAATATGTGCAATTTTTTTTTTAAGATTTTATTTATTTGTCAGGGACAGAGGGAGAGAGAGCGAGCGAGCACAGGCAGACAGAGAGGCAGGCAGAGGCAGAGGGAGAAGCAGGCTCCCTGCCAAGCAAGGAGCCCGATGTGGGACTCGATCCCAGGACCCTGGGATCATGACCTGAGCCGAAGGCAGCCGCTTAACCAACTGAGCCACCCAGGCGCCCCTAAACCAAGTATATTTAGCTTGCTGCAGCAAGCGAGCACTCCCCACAGGCAAAGTTTAGGAACATTTAATCTGGAAGTCAGGGAGGACTTTTAAAATGAGTAGTAGGTGCTTACAGGGCAGAATAAATGTCTTTTCTTCTAGGGCAAAATAAATAAGTGTTAATACTTGGATCAAGTGCTCTAAGAGGGTTTTTAAAAAAAAATTATTTATTTATTTGAGTGAGAGAGTAAGAGAAATCACAGAGAGAGAGGGAGAAAGAGAAGCAGACTTGCCACTGAGCAAAGAACCCCATTGTAGGGCTCCATTCTAGGACTCTAGGATCATGACCTGAGTTGAAGGTACCCCAGGTACCCCAGGAAGAATCAGTTTTGTAAAGAGAAATTCCCCCAATGTTACAAACTTACTTAAGGAAAATCCACCCCCCCCCAAATTTAGCATTTTTGTTTTTGAGAGTAAAAGCTGAAAGAAGGATTTTAAAATTCATCTAGAGGAAGGGTGCCTGGGTGACTTAGTCGGTTAAGTGCCTGACTCTTGATTTCAGCTCAGGTCTTGATCTTAGGGTTGTGAGTTCAAGTCCTATAAAAATTACTCATGAGAAAAATGATGTCATAGAACAGATGAAAATACTGACCACACTGTCCATTATAAGGTTAAAAAAAATATATACATATATATATATTTAGGATTCCATCTACTAGGTAAATCTCTCTCTTTTTTTTTTAAACTTTATTTGTGAGAGGGGCGCCAGGGTGGCTCAGTGGGTTAAAGCCTCTGCCTTCAGCTCAGGTCATGATCTTGGGGTCCTGGGATTGAATCTTGCATCAGACTCTCTGCTCAGCGGGGAGCCTGCTTTCCACCGCCCCCCCGCCCCGCCTCTGCCTACTTGTGATCTCTCTGTCAAATAAATAAATAAAATCTTAAAAAAAAAAAAGATTTTGTTTGTGAGAGAGAGAAAGAGTGTGAAAGACTGTGTACAAACAGGGGTGAGTAGCAGTTTGAGGGAGAAGCAGCACCCCCCGCCCCCCGCCCTGGGACAGGGTGCCTAACTCCGGACTGGATCCCAGAGCCGCAGGATCTTAACTCAAGCCAAAGGCAGACCTTCAACTGACTGAGCCACCCAGGGATCCTTACTAGGTAGGGATCTTAATGTAACTTAATCTTAATGTAACTATAATGTAGAAACTCATATATTAGTAAGTTTTTCTTTGAGATTTAGGAGTACTTATTGTGGATATACCAAGTCTTTCACCTTCAGATAACTTAAAAACATTCACATATTTATCTCAGTCCAACTTTTGTATTTTATTAATCTGAAATTCTTTATGAAATATAGTTTGAAGTAGGAACATAATTATTTTTCATTTACCAGTTACCTCAATATCATTTATTGAATAAACCTTCCTTTCTCTACTTATTAAAGGTTCTATTTCAATCATATTCTAAATTTGTATGTATGTGAATATATAACACATGCATACATGTACACATACATATATATTGATTGCTTTTGGGGCACTCCTTAGTTTCATTAGTTTTCTTATTAGTAACTAGGTTTTGTTTTTTTTTTAAGATTTTATTTATTTATTTGAAAGAGAGAGAGAGAGCACAAACAGGGGGAGCAGCAGAGGAAGAGGGAGAAGCAGGCTCCACTGAGCAGGAAACCCAATGCAGGGCTTGATCCCAGGACCCTGGATCATGACCTGAGCCAAAGGCAGACACCTAACTGACTAAGCCACCCAGACACCCCTTATTTGTAACTCATTTAGAACCAGTATATGAAGCTGAATTAGAATGAATATATATATTCTATTATCTATAAAAAATACCAACCCATCTAAAAGTAGAAATTCTAGGGGCACCTGGTGGCTCAGTGGGTTAAAGCCTCTGCCTTCGGCCCAGGTCATGATCCCAGGGTCCTTGGATCAAACCCTCATCGGGCTCTCTGCTCAGCAGGGAGCCTGCTTCCTCCTCTCTTTCTGCCTGCCTCTCTGCCTAATTGTGATCTCTGTCAAATAAATAAATAAAATCTTAAAAAAAAAAAGAAATTCTAGTTGAATAATAGTTGTTTCGCAAAGAAAATTTTATTTACATTGAGTTGGCAAAACATACTACAAAGTAGTTATTTTAAAAGGAAATCACATGTATCTCAGTGAAATCACTATTTTTCAATAAAAATGTTAACCTTCCTGAATAGTGTGTATATATCCTACATAGCATGCACATTTATCTTGGATATTGTCTCTATATCTTACCTTGTATGGCTCTTTAGAAGACAAGCCAGAGTCACATAGGTCATTATAATGACCTTTGTATGTGTGGCTGGAGAAGCAAACAGCCCAGAAAAGGATCTTTTTCCTGGACTTTACACCTTAATAAGAAACGAGCAAATACTTTTTTATGTTTCCAATGGGATTTATTTATACTTCAGTAAAAGTAGCAAATGTTCACATAAGTTATTTCCTTAATCGTATTTATTTTGTACGACCACATTGTTATCAAGCAGCATTATGGAATGTTCCCTGGGTCCACAGTTCTGAACTTTCCAACTATTATATGTATCCTCTTTTCCAAGTTTAGACATGACCTTGTAACTGAAGAAGCATGGCTTGATATTGCAAAGTTGTCATGTGTGACAACCTGACATCACAGGAGAAGCCTCTTGATGAAGAATGTTTTATCTTTCATTCATTTACAAAATGGTATTTTTCTTTTTATGTGATTATACAACCCATGTGATTTTATTTTCAATTCTTTTTTCTTCTGATAGAATGAAATCAAACCAGTTAAAACTAAGCAGTGTAGCAATAAAACCAACCAAATACACAGGATGATATATCTTATATAGGGTATTTTAAAAGATATTTATGTCTTATATTACATATCTGTATTTAATGTACTTGGGCAGTAAAAAGTTAGAAGCATGTAAACAGAAAAAAATTTCAATTTGATGCATTGTTTTAATACTCACAAAAACCTGGGTTTATTTCTTTTTCAGGAGTACAGTGAAATAGTTCTACATTAAAATTAAAAGGTCTTGCTGCTTTCATATTTTTTCTGGAGATTCTTATTTTATACATTTTTAGGTAACAGAATAATTCTGTAATTTTCATTGAGAAGACGCCATTGCTTGGTTAGATATGATTATCAGATTTTAGGCCAATTTTGCTGCCCTCACGTTCATGAACATTGATTATTTCACTGTTTACTTTTCCAAACATGTGCTTATGTTAAAGATCCAAAAACTTAAATGGGGAGTCATTGGTAATAATAAATGTACAGTGATTGATAAGGACAATGACAAATCTTAGGGGTTGAAGTTTTTGTTATGATGAGAGCTCTATTGTGTTAGTTAGCTGTGCAGAGAAACATTTGGAGACAGGAAAATGCATTATGTCCAAGAAACCATATTGCATGCTTAGTTGACTGCTAGAAATTCTCTGGTTTGATGCATCACTGATATTTATGGTGGAATCTACATGCAGCTTCTTCAGCAAGCTCGTTGCTCCATCAAGAGCCCTCAATATTACAGATGTCTCACAGCCTGTCACTATGTGTCTCTGAGCTCCCAGTCAGGGAGGTTGCAGATTCTCCAACAAAATCCAGTGTTAGATTCAGAACTGAAGGTGTTTTATTTCAGTTACCTACAATACCTATAAAAAGCAAATTTCAAAAAAAAGAGCAAATTTTGTTAGAGTTCTTACTGTACTTTTAATAGGTACATGAGTTATTTTAGTGTCTACTACAAATTTTTGCTTACAAATACAAATTGTTTATAAGAACTATTATTATTGAGGTGACTTAGAAATTATTTTATGATCTATTCAGAGGAATTCCAGCATAGACAACAATTACAATATTTACATTTATTTTTATCTCAAATGACTTAAAAAACCTTTGTATTAGGTAAAATTTCAAACCCACAAATTAAAATGAACCATCTCCACATACCCATCAACCATCCTAAGAGATGATCAACAATTCTGTTTGTCATTCTTCAGTAACATTTGTTGATTGTTTAAATAGCAGGCAGTTTTCCAAATCTGGTTTACCTCTTTCAAAATTCACAAAATCCAAGTGAGCTAGGTTAGAGGCGGATTACTATAAAGCAATTAAATTTTGTTTGCATGAGTACCTTCCAATATGTTCACACATGTATTTATTTTTGTTAAATTTGCAAAAGTTAGATATTTCAACCATAATCAGTTAAGACAACTGTCTTTCCCTTTCAGTTGTCCCTTAGTCATATTTTCTCCTCTGATTGTAACCATGGAATGGCAGTGAGCATTTCTGAGATTTTGTTAAGGGATATATTTTTGTGCTTTGTCATCTCATCTATGTATGGTTATGTTAGTGATGGCCTTTCCACTTTGCAGTGCCTTCTAGCAAAAATATGAAAATGGTCAATTCAAAGAATATTTAAGAGGATTCACTCCATAGAAAACTTGAAATGCCTTGAAGTCTTATAGCTTAGATGTCAGAGCAACTTAATAGAGGTCTCCCCAAATTTGACAACAATCCTAAAAATTACATTGCTACTGAAGAGTTAAGAATTTGAAAGAAAACTCTGTAAAGTGTAAAAAAAAAAAAAAAAGCAATTTTCATCCACTATGCTGCAGGATAGTCCAAATTATTTTTTTTATTCATTCTATTGCAAAGTTGTCAAATGAAGAGGCAGTCAACATGTAAGCAACTCCCCAAAAGTAAGATCAAAGTATTATAGAGCTGTTAGTAAAAGTATTATGTAACTTCCCCTCCATTATGTGACATTTGAGAAATTTGTTAACATTTAAACATTATGTCATTTTGGGGTATCTGGCTGGTTTAGTCAGTAGAGCACGCAACTCTTGATCTCAAGGTCTCTGTTGGGCATGGAGCCTATGCAGAGTTGTAATTGATTGTGTATTCATAATTTTGTGTTTCTTAAAGTGAGTTCTCCAAATACTATTAAGCTGTAGGTTCCACAAATCCTGGATCCATCCCTAAGGTAGATAGTATTATTATCCCACCTTAAATTAAAATTCAAAGAGGTCAAGTGACTTTCCAAAGGCCACACATTTATCAAGAGGTGGAACAGGCTTAGAAACCAGAATTTCTGATCCTAAAACATATAATTTTATATGTCCGCTTGGCTAGGCTACCAAGTTGTTTGGTCAGACACCAGTCTATATGTTGCTGTGAAGGTATTTTTTAGATGAGATTAACATTTAAACAGTAGATTTTCAGTAAAGCACACTACCTCCATGATACAGGTGGGTCTCACCCAAGCAGTTGAAGGCCTTAATAAAAAAGACAGAGGTCCTTTGACTAAGGAGGAATTCTGCCTTCACACCACCTTTTTTTTTTAAATTATATTACTTTTTTAAAAAATTTCTTTTCAGCGTAACAGTATTCATTGTTTTTGTACCACACCCAGTGCTCCATGCAATACGTGCCCTCCTTAATACCCACCACCTGGCTCCCCCAACCTCCCACCCCCTGCCCCTTCAAAACCCTCAGGTTGTTTTTCAGAGTCCATAGTCTCTCATGGTTCACCTCCCCCTCCAATTTCCCTCAACTCCCTTCTCCTCTCCAGCTCCCCATGTCCTCCATGTTATTTGTTATGCTCCACAAATAAGTGAAACCATATGATAATTGACTCTCTCTGCTTGACTTATTTCACTCAGCATAATCTCTTCCAGTCCGGTCCATGTTGTTACAAAAGTTGAGTATTCATCCTTTCTGATGGAGGCATAATCACCTTTGAACTCAAGACTGCAACATCAACTCCCTGGGGCCGCAGCCTGCTAGCCCATCTTGCAGATTTTGGACTCACCAGTCCTTACAGTTGTGTGTGCCAATTCCTTCAAGTGTCTCTTTTATATACATCCCATTTCTGTTTCTCTGGAGAACCATGACTAGTGCAATAAGAAATACAAAGGACTCTGGGGACATACAAAGGATGTATGTCCTTTGTATGTGTATGTATACAAAGGACATCAAAATAAAAAGCTTTGACACAGTAAAAACCATCAGCAAAACAAAAAAGCAACCTACTGAATGAGAGAAGATATTTGCAAATGACCTATCTGATAAAGGGTTAATATCCAAAATATTTAGAACTTCTACAACTCAACACCAAGAAACCCACCAAACAATCCAATTCAAAAGATGGGCAGAAGACCTGCATAGACATTTTTCCAAAGAAGACATACTGATGACCAACGGGCACATGAAAAGATGCTCAACATCATTAATCATCAAGGAAATGTAAATCAAAGCCACGGTGAGACATCACCTGACACATGTCAGAATGGCTAAAATAAAAAACACAGAAAAAATAAGTGTTGACAAAGATTAGAGGAAAGGGAATCCTCATACAAATTGGTACAAATTGGTAAATTGGTACAGCCACTATGGAAAATAGTATGGACTTTCCTCAAAAAAATTTTAAAAAAGTAGAAATATCATATGATCCAATAATTCTACTACTGGGTATTTACCTGAAGAAAACAAAAACAGTAATTTGAAAAGATATATGCACCCTTATGTTTATTAAAGCATTATTGACAATAACCAAGGTATGGAAGCAAACTAAGAATCCATCAATAGACGAATGGATAAGGAAGATGTGGTATGTGTATACACACACACACACACACACACACACACACACACACACACATACACACTGGAATATAATGTAGCCATAAAAGGACAAGATGATGCCACTTGTGGCAACATGGATGGACCTAGAGAATATAAGTGAAATAAGTCAGGCTGAGAAAGCCAAATACCATATGATTTCTCTCATACGTGGAATCCTAAAAAAAACAAAAAATAAAAAACAAAAAACAAACAAATGAATAAGGAAAAGCAGAATCATACAGGTAAATACAGAGAAAAAAATTGATGGTTGCTAGAGGAGTTAGGGTGAGGGATGGCCAAAATGGGTAAAGGGGTTTGGGAGATACAAGCTTGCAGTTATGGAATGAATAAGTCATGGAAATAAAAGGCACAGCAAAAGGAATAGAGTCAATGGTATTACAATAGGGTTTATGGTGACAGATGGTAGCTACACTTAGGTAAGCAAAGCATAACATATGAACTTGTTGAATCACTATATTGTACACCTGAAACTAACATTAATTTATAATATATGTATATGTAATATTATTGTAGAGATTAAACTGACCTGAAACTAACATAACATTTTGTGTTAAGTACACTGAAATTAAAAAACTAATAAAAAGATTTCTTAAAAAGATACAAAGAATTATATGCTAGTTGACTATATGCTAGTGTTGACTCTCTAATAGTTACTAATCGTATAATCTCGGCAATTCATTTAACCTCCTTAGGGTTTAGTCTTATTATCTCCAAAGTAAGGAAATCATTTTTGATCAAGATTTCTTAATCTTGGCACAGTTGACATTTTGGGTTAGGTAATACTTGTTGTAGGGGAGAATATCCTATGCCTTGTGGGATGTTTAGCAACATCTGTGGCTCCGTCCACTAGATGCCAGTAGTTTCATCCAGTTGGGACAATCGTATCTATCTCCAGACATTTTCAAACAGCCCTTAGTTGAGGGGCAAGGGACAAAATTTCCCCCCATCCTACTTGAACATTGCTGTATTAGGTCATCTTTAAGTTATAATATATGCATATATAATATATTGTAGGGATTAAACTGACTGAGGCAACTTTGAAAACTTCAGAAGGCTGACTAGTGGGATGTTATAGAGGTGATTTTTTTTTTTAAGATTTTATTTATTTATTTGACAGACACAGCGAGAGAGGGAACTCAAGCAGGGGGAGTGGGAGAGGGAGAAGCAGGCTTCCTGCTGATCAGAGAGCCCGATGCTGGCTTGATCCCAGGATCCTGGGATCATGACGGGAGTTGAAGGCAGACGCCCAGCGACCCAGGTGTCCCCCCAGAGGTGATATTTTAATATTCTGTAACTCTTATAAATAAAGTTTTCTTTAGTTCCTATAAGAAAGAAGCAAAAAATGGAAAAAGGCCTGAAAGATTGACAACAGAAGCTCTTGGCAAAGTGAGCCCCAGGCAACTTGAGGGGAGTCACAGAAATGAAAGAGAAAAGCTAAAAAGGGGAGAAGGATGGAATTCAGTGCTTATCCTCTCAGAAACAAATCTTAGCTGGGAAATTATTGTTTCAAGTCCAAGCCACCGGTGGAAACCTTGCGCTTAAGCACTGGGTGGAGGGCATAGTCTACTACAGGGCCTGCTGGTGGGGTTGCTAGGCTTCCTGCATGCATGCTTAGGAATTTGTGGAAGTCTCCATGATTTTGTAGTGCATGTTACCTTGCTAATAGTCATGCAGAGAAAGTTATTTTTCCAAAGGATACTTTTTGGTGTGGAGGGAGGAGGGAGAATGATTAGCCTGAGTAAGTGTAGTCATCTTAGGGCTTCTGTTAGATGACCAAAAAGAGAAAAACACAGCAGCATTCCACTAGATGGGGCTATATGGGACTAATTCATACAGCGTGGCTAAATTAGGTTGGATATGACCCTGTCTTTCCCAGCATATTTTCTCAGTCCTTTTGAGATAATTTGGAATTATCAATACTTCAAATGAAAGATACCTGCCAATTAAGAAAATTTTTCCATTTTAGTGTTTATCTCCACTTCTGATTCTAAATATACACATTTCTATTCCAAGCAACTTGTCCACAAAGTAAGGCTCAGGCCCAGAAAGCAACAGAACATTTTGCGTTTTTAGCAAAAGATTTGTTCCTTTTTTCTATTTGAATTAATGCTGTAGTCAGGTGATTAATAACACTACTACTAGGTTGCAAGTAGAAACAGTACTGATATAAAATCCTTTTAACTTTAATCTCTTCAATGCTCGGCTGACAGATAGTCAGAGATGAGTTTTATGCCTACTCTTGGCAGTCTGAGGTATTAAAAAGGCCGAAGTTGGGATATTAAAATACTTCGCAGAGCTCTGAAATATAATAACATGCTCCAAACGGTAGCCTGATAGAGAAGACCCTTGGAGCTCTGGTTACATGGCATTTAGCAAGGGAACTCGGCTATTATACATCCGGATGACTGGGTAGTCTTATGTCAAAACGAGCCGTTCTAATGGCTCATTTAAGCAATTATCTCCTAACTGGGAAGTTGTGAAATTCACAATCTACTGAAATGTTTAATCACTTGGGGAGAAAAAAGACAAAAAATATCAATCATATCTTGTATAAAACTGCAAGTTGGTCTACCAGTATGGGTGAGCCAAGGGAAAGACCCTGCCCTGCAGTTGTTATAAGTGGGTTTTTGTTGTTGTTGTTTGTTTGTTTATTTTAGTATTGGTGACCCTCATCAGAACTAGGCTTCGTTATATAGCAAAATTGTAAGCCGCCCTCAAGGGCGTTGGGGGTGGTAGTCAGGAATGGGTAGAAGATAGATGGTGGGAAATAATACATTACCCAAGGCTCTAATCCCATTTAAAACACAGTAAAAACATAAAAACAAATAAGATGTTTGAAGGTGGCTAGAGTTAGGCAGAGAACAAATAAATTGAAAGTCAAAGATAAAAGTAAACAAAATGGAAGAAAAACCCCCCTTGTGTATTTACCATATACCTCTATGAATAAAAAAAATTAAAAAACAAAATAATGCATTTTTTCACATATTTTCCATAAAAATAATGGAGAGGAAGGATGAGCACAAGTGAACCAGCCAGCACATTGGGTTGAAGCAAACACAAAATTCCATTAGACAGTTTTGCCTAAGGGCAGGGCCTGACCATAAAGTGTATTTCCTTCAAAACTCCCTAGGAGCAATTCTTTCTCTTAGTATAATAGAAACATGTTGGTAAAAATCCTTATCAAACCAATACAAACTATAACAACTGATATAAAGACTTAAAGAGTGAGAAGCAGGAGGCAGAATGGTGGAGGGGACACCTCAGTATTTCCAGCCAGCAGTTGGTGCCAAAAACAAATGACTGTTTGGAATTTTAAGTTCAGTCCCATTGATGTACTTCAGAGACGTCCCTAGGATCTGTATCTCCCTGTTCTAGAGAAACACTTCCTAAATTATCAAATGTCCTTCTTTTGACTCCTTTCTACCCCCCACCCACAAATTAACATGCATTCTGTGAAGAAAAAGCAAAGTTCTTCAGTAAAACACATTTGAAAAACATTATACACTCTATTGCCTTCTTAGAGATTTCTAGAGCACTTGGGCATAAGAGTATAAAATACTCTGAGGAGTTCTGGAAAAGGAAAATCTGTATTTGAACTTAGCATTCCCCCAATTTCAATCCCCTTTCCCGTCCTCACCTCCATCCCCACAAATACCTATTAGCATGTCTGGGGCCACTGACATTCTCTGATAAAATAGTCACAAAATGCTGTTCCAGGGATCAAAGAATTACATCTTCTTGCCACACAGAAAGGATTGTGAAGATTGAGAGGACTTACCAAAAGGTTCTACTTAATGTCCTGAGAGTTCAGATTTTTGCTTAAATTTGGCTTCTTGGTACAGTTGTTTAGCTTTTGCCCTATCATTCTCCTAATTGAAACATCATCTGTGTTGGGAAATAACTGTTTTGTGACTCCTGTAAAAAACAATAACACATGAAAACACTTTTTGAGGCCTTTGCATCTTAAGGTATGAACTGATATAAAACATCAAGCAATCCACAATGTAGTTTTGTCTCCATTTTGCAAAAGCAGCCCAAACACCAATGAGAAATGGCATATTAAAATACAGAGAGCTCAGATTCAGTGATTCCCTGAATTTTTTGACATTTACAAAAAATCATTTGATAGCTAGATGATTATATTTGAGGAGATTAACTTAAAAACCGTAAGTAGGACTAAGGAGGACATGTGTTGTAAGGAGAACCGGGTGTTATACACAACTGATGAATCACTGGACTCTACCTCTGAAATAACACACAAGTGTTCATTAATTGAATTTAAATAGAAGAAAATAAAATTAAATTAAAAAACACATAAGTGGGAAATTAATCCCTATTTTTCTAGAATAAAAGATAAGGAATCTAGAGCCAAGATAAGAAAGAGAAAATAAGATCTAAACTCTTTACTGAAATTTTGTTTGAAAGGATTTTGGGATGCATTTTTCTGAAGTTACGAATTTATGAATTCAAAGTTTTCAATGAAATAAAATTTAGCTTTATTTTAGTAACTGTTTTAATGTAAATTTTTCTATAAAATTTACCATATTTAATAAGAGATTTAGGCTATTTTGAGATTTTTCTTTCATAGAAAAATAAACAACAAAAAGACCATGAAAGAATAACTTAACCTTGAGTGGTAAAATAATTTCAAATTCATGTGACAATGTAATACAACCATATAATACCTATGATTTCTTGAACTTCATTCTGATTCATAGCTGGTTTTACGGCTTTGTCCCTGGAAGTAGAGGACTTGGCTCCGGTCAGGCTGTGTGTGGCCATGTACTCATTTGTATAAAGTACTTGCATTAAATCATTAATAAACTTCTGAGGCTTGCTCTTGTTACAACGGGCAATCTGCCATTTTTCAATCTTGAACTAAAAAATACAACATAATAGTTGAAACTGGAAAAAGGAAAAGAAAGTTGTATCCGGAGAAATATATTGCTAATTGAGTTAAGACATACCAGAAAACAAAATCAACATTCTTTAAGGGGATGTATTTTGCTTTTATTTATTTTTTTTATTTTATTTTATTTTTTTTAAAGATTTTATTTATTTATTTGACAGAGAGGCAGGCAGAGAGAGAGGAGGAAGCAGGCTCCCTGCTGAGCAGAGAGCCCGATGCGGAGCTCGATCCCAGGACCCTGAGATCATGACCTGAGCCGAAGGCAGTGGCTTAACCCACTGAGCCACCCAGGCGCCCCGGTATTTTGCTTTTAATACATATTCTACATTTCAGGGGTTAGAGTTAAATGTTATCTTTGACATAATTCCCAATAGTTATGATGTATTTGTTCCAGAGTATATCCAAGCTCTTGTCATGTGATCTGGATTGGATGGTTTAAGGATGAGTCCATCCTCAACACCTCCTACTAAGTGTAGTAGGCAGAATAGTGGCCCATTGAAGATATCCATATCCCTGGAACCTGTGAATATGTGACCTTACATGGTTGAGATTAAAGGTAAGTACCTTGCGATGGGGAAATTATCCTGGATTATCCAGATGGGCCCAATTTTATCACAGGATCCCTTAAAGAGGGAAGAGGGGGCAGAAGAATGGGTCAGAAAAAAGAGGCAGAAGGAGGTCAGATTGGAATTGTGAGAGTGGCTTTGCCTCCATGGCTGGCTTTGAAGGTGGTAGAATGGCCCATAAACCAGAGAATGTAGTTGCCTCTAGAAATTGCCTCTGGAAGTGGGTTGCCTCTATAGTCAGCAAGAAAATGGGAAACTCAGTTCTACAACCACAAGAAACTGAATTCTACAATAACCTAAAGAAGCAGGGAACAGATTTTTCCATAGAGCCTCCAGAAAGGAATGCATCTGCTGACTCCTTGATTTTACCACACTTCCTATCTACAGAACTCTGAGATAATACATTTGTGTTATTACAAATCACTAAGTTTGTGGTCATCTGCGACATAGCAAAAGGAAACTGACAGACCAATATTCAAATATTCTAAATGTTAGATTGTTAGTATTTAATTATAGCTCTGGAAGGCATATTTTGCAAAGCTGATACCCAATTCTATTGAAACTCTTGTCGTTTTAGCTTCTGTTTCTTGAAGAGAAATTGGGAAGTAGGAAAAGGTTATATTCTTCCAGCATGCAGAAGCTGAAATTTACCTTCACTCAGTGATATAATTTTATAACCCTCAATGCATAGTTACCCATCACTAAACTAGAATTTTCTAGTTTAATAACCTCATCATTGACTGCAATTTGACTTTAGTTTTCTAAACTGGATACTTGTGAAACAAATATTTTTTTGATTTGTTATTAATTGTTTTATGTAATTGCAATGTTATGGTCATGATCAAAAGTTACCTAAAGTTACCTGATAAAACAGTGATCATTTTGCAGTCTTTTTAAATTTTTATTGTTTTTTATTTTTAGTAATCTCTTCACCCATCATGGGGCTTGAACTCACAAATCCTTGGATCAAAAGTCACATGCTCCACAACCCAAGCCAGCCAGGTGCCCCACCATTTTGTAGTCTTATCTTAATTTTTGTATTTACTGTATCCCAGACAAAGATAGGGCAGGCCTTCCAACTGACCTGTTTCTCATCAGTATGATGCTCTTCTTCAGCTTTCAAGGAAATTGGTGAGCTGGAATTAGAGTTAGAATTACTGCACGTTGAGGCAAATGAGTCTGGTGAGGAGTTGTTTGTTGCTCTCCAGAGGGTGGATGCAGATGTGGACATGGTTCCTCCACCCTTAAGCAGGGCTTCTGCCATACCAACCAATTCTTCAAACTGGGTGACTGCTTGCGGTAACACTAAAATGGCAAGAAAAAGTAACACTTTATGAATACTTTTAATAACAGGGGCATATATTCCTATATTTTTTATTGTGTATACATACATATTATATTGCATGTATAGAAATAGGTGGAACAAATTGTTAACATTTACTACTTTTGGAAAATAAACATGGTGAGAAGAGTGGTTGGGAGATATTTACTTTTTATTATTTAATAATGGCTTAATAATACATAAATTCAAAAACATGTGGTTGTTGCATTTAAGTGTATATGCATCACTTCATAACTAAAATGAATGGTTTAAAGAGTTGATTCTTTTTTCTGATTGCTATTGGTATTATTTGAAAGTTTTTAATCTCATTTGGAGACATTGTTGATTCCAGCATCATTCATCTTCCAGATACTCACATCAGGCCAGTTTAAAAGACCATTAAATCAAACCATTTCCACTTAAGGTTATTAAAATAAATTTTCAGTGACCATTGTGCGTGGTTTTCCAGGAAGTCAAATTTCATGAAATTAAGAAAAATTCATTGCCACGATTCAGAACTATGTTTTCACATATTAAGGATGAATTTTGGTAATCAGCTGAATGTTCTCTTTGTTCCTCTTCTTTTCATTTAAGATCTTATTTATTTATTTGACAGAGAGAGACAGCATGAGTAAGGGAGATGGGCAGGGGAAGAGGGAGAAGCAGACTCCCTGATGAGCAGGAATTCCCAAGACCTGAGCCGGAAGACAGATGCTTAACTGACTGAGCCACCCAGGCACCCTCTTTGTTCCTTATTAAATGGAAACTCACACATTCAAAGGTTCATGTCTCCATGTAAAATGGTCTTCTCTAGTTATGGTTATATCTAATTTGTTTCCTAAGGACACATAACATTTTTTCGGGGGGTGGAAGTCACTTTGAAGCCTCCCTGATTCAACTCCTCACTCTATGGTTGAGGGTATTGGCTGCTGGAGAAGTAAAAAGACTGAAACTTTTTTCTTTAGCATATTATTAAGCTACAATCTTTGGACTAATATTTGATTTGAGAGCTAAAATCAGTAGCTAAAGGGAGATGAGTTCGACAAAATGATTTACCCAGTTAATGCATACCAACAAGATACAGAACATCTCCATCCTCCCTTCCAAGTCAATCCCAGGACTCACTTTAGAGGCAACCATTGATCCAACTTCCTTGGCCAGAGGTAAGTTTTACTTGTTCTAGAATTACATATAAATGGTTTCAAATGGTATATTCTGTTTTTTTGGATTTTATTTATTTATTTATTTTTTGGTTTAACTTTTCTTTTGCTCTGCATAATGTTTTGAGATTTATTCATGTTGTTGTATATATCTGTTATTTATTCCTTTTTATTGCTGGCTAATATTTCATTATATGGATACTCAACAATTAAAGTTTCATTTACCTGTTGATGGGTTATTTTCCACTTGAAAACATGACTTTAATGGTTCCCTACTATTCTAAGGTATTGCTATTGTATAATTTATTTAAATGTTCTCTTTTTTTTTTCAAAATTTGGCTGCTTCCAATTTTTCTTCTTTCTTTCTTTGAGAGAGGGAGGGAGAGAGAGCAGAGCAGGGAGGGGCAGAGGGAGGAGGGAGACTGAGAGAGATTTTTTTTTTTCCGAGAGAATTTTAAGCAAACTGTGCTGAGCACAGAGCCCCACTTAGGGCTCCATCCATAGACCCTGAGATCATAACCTGAGCCAAAACCAAGAGTGGGTCCTTTAACTTACTGTGCCACCCAAACGCCCTGCTTCCAACTTTTCTTTATTACAAACAAAACCCTTGTGAACTGCCTAGCTCATACATCTTTGCATGTATCTCTGATAACAACAACGCTACAAATTCCTGAAAGCACAATAATAGGGTCAAAGGTATAAATGTTTTTCGACCTCAACTAATATTGCCCAATTGCTCTCTAGATTCTTCCAACATACATGGCTACCAGCAGTGTAAGAAGTCAACCATTTTGCTACACCATCAACAACAGGTGTTAGTCATTAACAATGATCTTCACTATTTTGATAAGTTGAAATCTTAGTAAAATTTAATTTGCAATTATTTTATTATTGTGAAGTTAAATGCATACTTATTTATTGACTATTCGGGCTTCTGTGAATTAGGTATTAGGCTACAGAATATTAGTAGGTTTTTTTGTTTGTTTGTTTGTTTGTTTTTTAAGTAATCTCTGCACCCAACGTGGGTCTTGGACTTACGACCCGGAGATCAAGAGTTGCATGGTCCACCAACTGCCAGCCAGGTGCCCTTAGTATTTTTTCTATTTTTTCAAAAGATTTTATTTATTATTTGACAGAGAGAAAGACAGCAAGAGAGGGAACGCAAACAGGGGGAGTGGGAGAGGGAGCAGCAGGCTTCCTACTGAGCAGGGAGCCTGACATGGAACTCGATCTGAGGACTCCGGGATCATGACCTGAGCCAAAGGCAGAGGCTTAACAACTGAGCCACCCAGGCGTCCCTATTTTTTCTATTTTTAATAACTTAGACAGTGTTTGTAAAATTCTTATAAGGGTGCATAGTGTGTTAGCTACTCTTAATGTATTTCCTTATATATTAAGTATTTTATTTTATTTTTTAAAAGATTTTATTTATTTATTTAACAGACAGAGATTTAAGTAGGCAGAGAGGCAGGCAGAGAGAAAGAGAGGAGGAAGCAGGCTCCCCGCGGAGCAGAGAGCTCAATGCGGGGCTCAATCCCAGGACCCTGGGATCATGACACGAGCCGAAGGCAGAGGCTTTAACCCACTGAACCACCCAGGCACCCCTATATTAAGTATTTTAAACTTTTATTTGCTGTAAGTTGCAAGTATTATCTTTCAGAGTTTTTATTTTATTTCATGATCTTTTGAAAGCATACACAAATTTTTAGTTTTTATTTTAAAGTAGCAGTCTTTTCTTTAGTGTATAATTCATCTATTTTATGGTTAGAAAGTCACTCAGCATTCAAAGCAGTAAAATACTCAGTCATATATTTTGTATAGTTCAAATATCTTTTTACAAGTGAGCTTTTTTTTTTTTTTTTTTCCTGCCTGGATACAATTTTTTTTTTAACTTCCAAGGGATACTTTTAATTTACAAACAAAAATTGAAAACTCTGTATTTCCAGCCTCCAGTTTCCACTCACAGCCAATCTTCTTCCATTGATACTTCCGTCCATTTTCTCCCCAACCCAGGAATACTTCAAACGAATCACAGGTAGCATCTCATTTTATCTGTAAATATTTCTATATGTATCTTTAAAGGTAAGAAATGTAAAAAATGCAAGCAAAACACCATTGTGACAACCAGAAATACGCATCAGTAGTTCTTAAATATTACGTTTATTTTTTTTTAATGGTACAGCTATTTTAAGTTTTTAATGAAGTAATCTCTACACCTAACATAGGGCTCCAACTCTTTTTTTTTTTTTTTAAGATTTTATTTATTTATTTGACAGAGAGACTACAAGCAGGCAGAGCAGCAGGCAGAGGGAGAGGGAGGAGCAAACCAATGCGCCCCTCCAACTCTTTTTAAAAAAATTTAATTTAATTTTTTTTCAGTGATCCATAAAAAAACCTAGTAAATGTCCAAATTTCTCTGACTTTCTCATTGTTGTTGTTTTTACTTTATTTGAATCAGGATCCAAATAAGGTCCACATATTATGAGTAGTTACTGTCTCTTTTATAAACTATAGGTATTTTTTCTCTCTCTTTCCTAGTTTTTTCCTTGGAATTTATTAATTGAAGAAACTGGATTATTTGTTTTACATGGTTTCCCACAGTGGGATTTTGCTGATGTATCCATGACATACTGTTTAACATATTATTCTGTTCCTTAAATTAGCTCTAAATTGGTAATCAGATCTAAAGGCTTGATTAGACTTGGGTAGGATTTTAAAATTCTATCAGATAGAATTGAATGCATGGTTAGCTTTTTTTGTGATATTACTGATGATCACCCCTTAGATTCATTACATCATAAGGAGTTGCAAAATTGTGATATTCTAATACTTTCCTTTTTCATTTATTAGTTAGAATTCTTATACAAAGGGGAAATTCCTCCCATCAACTATTTGGTTACACTTAGGTTTATTTCCTATAATAATGGCAGGGTAAATGCTTGTATTTTTATCTGTATTCACCAGTTTTCAGATGACCATTAAGTTTTTTCTTTTTTTTTTTAAGTTTTTTTCTTTTTTGAATACCATTATGAACTCAAGCATTTAAATATACATGATAACCTGCAGTGGTCATCCTTACTGTTGATCCTCAAATTGTCTCATCTTTGGTCATTGGGAACCTCTTCTTCTTCTTCTTCTTCTTCTTTTTTAAAGATTTTATTTATTTATTTGACAGACAGAGATCACAAGTAGGCAGAGAGGCAGGCAGAGAGAGAGAAGGAAGCAAGCTCCCTGCTGAGCAGAAAACCCGATGCAGGGCTCGATCCCAGAACCCTGGGATCATGACCTGAGCCAAAAGCAGATGCTTTGGGGCGCCTGGGTGGCTCAGCGGGTTAAAGCCTTTGCCTTTGGCTCAGGTCATGATCCCAGGGTCCTGGGATCGAGCCCCGCATCGGGCTCTTGGCTCGGCAGGGAGCCTGCTTCCCTTCCTCTCTCTGCCTGCCTCTCTGCCTGCCTGTGATCTCTGTCTGTCAAATAAATAAATAAAATCTTTAAAAAAAAAAAAAAAAAAAAAAGCAGACGCTTTAACCCACTGAGCCACCCAGGCGCCCTAGGAACCTTTTCTAACTGGCACGTCCATATAGTCTTTGTTAACTGCATTGCTTTCTGCTATGACAAGTTTTTCATTTGGATTTCCTGTTCTAGGCTCCCAAAAAGGCTCATCTCGCACATTTCCTGTGCAAATTCTGGATTCAGCCATTTCTCCAAGGAACCCTAGCTCCTTTTAGTGGGAGGTGTTATATGACCAAATCCAGGTGCTAAGAGTATTCTTTGCTATTGAGCTCTTGCTTTTAGGCCTATTCAGTAAAGAGTGTTAGAAAATA